GTAGCTTCAGCTGTTCTGCGCACCTACTGTGCAGCCTTCCTGAGTAACCAAGTCCTTAAGCCTCAGCTAGCACCCCGACCTAGTGGGATGGACTTAATATGCATGAAAGCCCTGTCCAACCTGGGTTAGGATAGAAGACATAACAATAGGTAGAGACATAAAGGAAGTATCAGAGTTTTTCTTCAGGAGTTCCACATGCTTTTCCAGGCCTGTCACTCCCTAAGCCAGCCCCCAAATTCCTGGGAAATCTGTAAATCTACCTATGAACCACTAATTAATTCCTTAATAAACAGATTAAGAGATAGGATATTTGAAGAAACCTATAATTTAAGAGACTTCCAGTGCTGCCTACAGATCAAAGAATGAAGAGCGTATCAGATGAAGGATCCAAAGATTGACTAGACCACTGGAAACCATCTTGAGCTCACCAAACTATTATTCCTGCATGCCTCTCTGTACCCACCCCTCACCAAGTTTCCTTTAAAAGAAGAGCTGAGAACCCTGAAAACTCCTCTCTCATTCTCGAGATGACCTGCATATTCCCTTGAATGTATACCTGCTTTTGTAAATAAGCCTCTGACTGGTGTGTGTGCTGAAATTCTCCTCCTTTGCAGAGGCCAAGAACGCCCCAGTCCGGAGGTGAGTTCCCCTTCTCTCCAGGAACTCCTCAGACCCTTCCTTGAAGACATCTCCTCCCCTATGACTAAACCAAAGGATCATTATTCTGTTTCAGGAGCTAGGTTGCTGTGAATGCCACCTCTCAGGCACATTTTGCCCTGCTTGGATAACCTGGTTCCTTATCTTGGCCTCTCTCATTCCCTCTGGTCCCTTGATGTCACCTCTGGTATTTTTTTTTTTTTTTTTATAATTGGTGCTTTTTTTTTTAGAGAGAGAGAGAGAGAATTTTTTTTTAATATTTTTTAATATGTGGTGCTGAGGATCGAACCCAGGCCGCACGAATGCCAGGCGAGCACGCTATTGCTTGAGCCACATCCCCAGCCCTCACCTCTGGTATTTTGTGGAGACTCAGCCTTTGGTATTGGAGGCCCTGTCTCTGGCAGGGGCCATAATTATGCAGGGCACTGTAGCCAAAGGAAGGAATTTGGAACTTGTTATAAGGGTGTATTTAGAAGAATATTCCACAGACAGTGAAAGAAAATTCCACAGTATGGAGCAGTGTTGATGGGGGTGGACGGTGGCTAGCGATTGGTGTTATGTGACAGTACCTCTGACAGGGGACCCAACTCATCTGCTCCTGATAGCCTGGCCACCTTATCCTTCTGTGGGACATCAAACCAGCACAATGGCAAAGGACGGCCAAGTGTGAGCAGATCATTAATCGGTTTTATATGAAGCCACGGTGCAGAGTTCTGTGGATAACAGACTGGAGTATGTGGGGTTAACCAGCCAACAAGGCTATTTGCATACATTCTTCCTCCTAAGACTTAGAAAATATTTGTAGCCCTCCTTTGTTTGAAGTGTGGATGCCTGTGAGCTCCTTACAGTCTGTGTGCTGACTTCAGTACCTTCCTCATGTCCTTCTGCCTTGTCCTGTATCTGCACTGTGTTCTTGATTGGTACTTTCAGAGGGTAGTGACAGGCAGCTGAGAGAAGGGGTCCAGCAATTCCCTTGTATATCTGTGGACCTCTCAGAATTGAGAACAGTCTCTTGATCATCTTTGAACTCTGCTTCCAACCTGAGACCGGGGCTCAGCAACTGTCTGGTTATAGAATGAATGGAAATACTAGTTGGATCTCTGGTCCCTCCTCCTGTTCCCTGTGGCCCAACATCTGCAGGAATCAGCCTGGTCGCTGCCCCTGCAGTTCCACCATGAGAACCCCTCAGCAGACACATCCAACGTGACTGCTATGTCAGGTGGACCTGTGCTGGGGAAGTCAGCACAGGGTGACTGAAGGGAAGCATCTTTTCTTCCTTATCCTGTCTATAAGTGCTTAATAGTACAAATAATTCAGGGATGTGTGTTCACTCCAGTTCAGGGCAACAGGAAACCTGCACCTGAGGACAACTGATCTTTGTGGTCACTGGGGTGTGCTGCTCCGCACCTGGGCCCCTTTACCTCTTACTGGTGGTGGTGTATACCTGCCCTTGGTATACAGAGGGCCCTCTGCAGTGATGATTATCCTCATTTTGGCAGCTTAGGGTATGATCCATAACAAAGAAGAAAAGCACAAAGCTGATGTAGAACATGCTACTATTGACAGAGTCTGTTTTTTTAGTATTATTGTCTTTTAAAAGAAATTTTTTTTGGGGGGGGGGGCGGTACCAGGGATTGAATGCAGGGACACTTAACCACTGAGCCACATATCCAGCCTCTTTTTATATTTTATTTAGAGACATGGTCTCGCTGAGTTGATGAAGGCCTTGCTAAACTGCTGAGGCTAGCTTTGAACTCACAATTCTCCTCCTTCAGCCTCCTGAGTCGCTGGGATTACAGGCTTGTTCCACTGCACCCGGAAATTATCTCTTAAATGTAGAGTGATGTGTTTATATTTTCCCATTTGAAAATAATATTTGATGCCTATGTTGGAGATACAATGGTAATGAAGATCAAACATCCTTCTCTTATAGTGCCACAAAGAAAACAGGATAGTGGAACAGGAGCAGAGGAAGATGGAAACCGTGCTCTAGATAGAGAGGGGCTTGGTGAGAAGGTGACATTTGAACTGAGAGCTGCGTGATAATTTGTGTGGAAATTAGTCTAGATAGAGGAAACAGCAAAGGAAGAGGAACCCTTGGGACAGACCAGAATTTGGCATGTTCCCAGGTCAAAGAGAAGGCCAGAAGTGTGAATAGAACATACGGAATACCAGGAGGAGGACATGTAGTTCTCACCTTGACTGTACTGCAGAATTATCTAAGGAACTTAAAAAAAAAATCCCAGTGTCCAAGCCCCACCTGAAGAGGTTTGTGACTTAATTGATCTGGGGTGGGACCAGGACTTTGGGATTTTATGAAAGCCTCCTAGGGAATGCAGCTTGGATAGGCCATGTGTCTTGATCATGCAGAGTGTTACAGGCTCTGGTAAGAACTTGGACTTGAGCTGAATGGCAGTGTGAAGCTACTGGACAATTTGGACTAGGAAATGAACATAATCTGATTTATGTCTTTAAGAGGCTCACTTTGACTATCGTGTGGGCAGTGGAGGTCGGGGGTTATTACCGTGGCCCCCTGGAGAAACGATGGTGACTTGAAGCAGGGTGGTTTCAGTGGAGATGGTAGGAGGAGGTCAGTATTTGGATTGGAGGCTGTGGTCAAAAAAATGGATTGGATTTAGAATGTGAGGCAAAAAGATCTCATGGGTGCCTCAGAATTGACCCGATAACCTGGTGGGTGGTACTGCCATTCACAGAGATGGGAGAGGTCAGGGAGGAACAAGTTTGAGAAGTTGCCATGCCTTATTTGGAGTGAAAACTTCAAGCTGGTGTTCTGTCTAGAGTTAACTTATAACCAAATGAGGTTGGCTAAAATATCCTGAGAAATCCTGTTCCTTTCGTGCTGAGAGTTTTCTTGAAGTCTTCCAAAGGTAAGCACCAAAAGCCAGTTGACCACTTTAGTGCATAGGACCTGTGATGAGCAGGGAAAGCTTCTTTCATACCAGTATCAGGTGGGATGTAGGGGAAGGATATACTTTGAGAGATTGCATGCAGTCAACACCTGTTTTGCTATAATAATTGAGTAGTGTGGTCATTTATAGAATCAGAAATAACAGATTAAAACATTTATGTTTGACTTAAGGGGAATTTCCCCCCCCAACAAAGTTATTTTCCAAGATAACTAGCTTATGTTATAAATTTTCCTTCCCTGACCAGGCCCTGGATATCTGGCAGTAAAAGTAATTGAGGTTGTTAAATCAAGATTAAATTATTGGAAACTGGGTTTGATGATGCACACCTATAATCCCAGCTATTTGGGAGACTGAGGCAGGAGAACTGCAAATTTGAGGCCAGCCTGGGCAACTTAGCAAATCACAAATCCCTATCTTAAAATAAAAATTAAAAAGGGATGCAACTCAGTGGTAGAGTGCACCCTTGTACCATAAAATCTCCAGGGTCACTAAATCAAAAATTAAATAATTAGAACTCTAATTCCAAACTCCAGACTGTAGACCTCAGAAATGAAATATTCATATTTTCCTAATTATGCTGATGGAGCCCTGGTGCAGTGAGAACAACATGGAATTTTGTAAGAAGTTTGTCATTTTTTTCCCCCGGTGAAAGTAAATGGATTAAGTTGTAAAGATGAAGTCTACGGATTGGTGTATGGAGTGGGGGAGCCCAGATTTGAAGTTCATTGGGGGCAAGAACTTTCTCTCAACCTTTTTTTTTTTTTAAGTACTGGGAATTAAACCCACAAGCATTTTACCACTGAACTATATTCCCAGTTTTTTTTTTTTTTTTTTTTTTTTTAATTTTGAGATAGGACCTCACCAAAGCTGAGAGTCTTATTAAGTTGCCCACACTGATCTCCAACTCAATATCCTCCTGCCTCAGCCTCCCAAGTTGCTGGGATTATAGGCACGTGCCAGAATCTGTGCACCTGGCTCGGTATCTGTTTTTCAAAAATGCCTACTACATTGCTCATTCTGAGGCTTTGAACTGTTTGTTTAGTAAAGTTAGGAAATGTTTGTAGCTGAAACTCTGGAGTCAGCACTGGCTGAACAGGAATGTTGACCAGAAGGCTTTTGAAATGCCAACAACCCCTTTGGGAGGCACTTCTGTGTTCTTAGTAGAGAAACTCTGGATGTGGCTGCCTTTGAGTGAAAGGCAGGAAAATTCAGGATGGTGTAGCTATTTAGAAAATGGGTAGGACCTAAGACTCCTTTCTAAAGAGCTTCAAGTTGGCTATAAGCCTCCGAGGCAGCCCTGAGGGGAGGCTGGTCCTGTTGAGCTTTGAAATGTTGAGCTCCTTTGCTGTCCCACAGAGCATCTGTGTTGCCAGTCTGTCTGCTCAATACCATGTCTGTCCTCATTACCCACAGATAACTGCAGTGACCTGAACTCAGAACTGCAGAGGGTGCTGACGGGGCTGGAGAGCGTTGTCTGCGGCAGGAAGAAGAGCAGCTGCAGCCTCTCGGTGGCTGAGGTGGACAGGCACATCGAGCAGCTCACCACCGCCAGCGAGCACTGCGACTTGGCTATTAAGGTGGGCCTCCCTCAACCCGCTGCCAGGTGGTCTCAGATTATGTAAGGGGAGTGGTCAGAACCCACTCTTGAGGCATGTTTGTCTCAAATACCTGTTGGGGATGTTTCAGTGACAGCCATGCTAGAAATTGGGCCAGGAGGTAGAAGCAGGGGCCCTACAAATCTTTGCTTGGCTGAATGACTTTGGAAAAAAGCCATTATATTGACAGTCAAGATCTTTGGCTTTTCTATAAAAGAGATGATGTGCTTAGAAATGATTAGATTACTAGCACCCAGCCACATCATTTTAGCATGGTTCATGACAGAGCACTTGTAAGTGTACCAGGGAAGTTTTATTGGAGCCTTAAGGCCTCAAGAACACGATTTCATGAGTTAACAATCTGTGTTGCTGACCAAGGGGAAGGTTCAGCACCTGACTGAGTCATCCCATCCCCTGCACAATGCAGCTGGGTCTCAGCCACACCTCTGACATGTTTTCATCTTCCTACTGAAGAAGGAGCAGGTGAGGGGAATCTGCTGCATCTGCACAAAGTCATCCTGAACAATGGGAAAGACAAGTCCAGCTGATCCCGGGCCTCAAGTGTCTTTATATTACTTCACTATAGCTTAGGGACCTAGGCCTAGCAATTTAGATATAGAAGTCTGGGAGGATTTTATACAAAGGAACAATCTAGACCCAAGTTTCTGTCAACAAGAACCCTCAATTTCCCCCAAAGAACTGTGTTGTCTCAAGGTACAGCATGGTGTCTGTTTATAACACAGCTGCTTTCTTTCTCTTTCATCTCAGTTGGAAATATATAGGTGAGGTGGGGTTGGGGATGAGGAGAAGCTATCACTGGTGTTTCTTGTCTGGAGTGTTCCAGGCTCCACATTAGATGGCAATGTCATCTTGGGTACTAGCTCTAGCCTCCACATTGAGAGGAAAAGAGGAGGCCAGGGACTTCTACCAACTAGCAAGGGACATAGCAGGGCCTGGAGCATAGCCAACTAGGATAAGAGTCTTGAATTTGAAAGGAGAAACAAAGCAGATCATGAGGAACGTGGCAGCAGGATTTGGGTACCTGTGTTCCTCAGGGAACCAGTGTGAGCCTCTGAGGGTGGCTCCTAGGGGGTTTAGTATTTGAAACCTGTTTCTCATCATGTCTCTTCTTGGCCTTTTGCAACTGCCCTGTAATTCTCCCTTCTGTTTAGAAATCAACTGGCCTCTGCTTCCTTTCACAAAGGATAATACATGTGAATGAATAGTTTCTGAGAGCAAGCAGAATAAATTCTTTTTTCTTTTCTAATTTTATGTATCTTTCTTCTCCACTAATGCTGTTGTAAATGAATTTTTAATAACCCTTCAAGTACGATAAGAGATTCTCTCTTTTTTCTTTCTTTTTATTTTTAATATACTTTAGTTCTTAGCTACCTTATTAATTAAATCCCTGCTGTCTGAGAAACCTCCACAATGAGCTTCCTCTTTTCTGTGTCACTGAGGTTTATTTTTGACTTTCACATCTTGGGACTGAACCTCATTTGCACCATTTGAATTCTTATGTGGCACTGAAAGTGGGAAAGGTTGAGGTGACCTGTTTTATTGCTGAGCTGGCACACAGGAAGCCTGTAATTTAGGAAACTTCCAATTAGATTTTGCATGCAGTTTGCCACTTCACGTTTGTCATCGCATCCCCCGGATCAGTAATTGTCCTGCTTCCTGGTTGCACATTTGCCAACTCTGGAACTCAAGTGAAGGAGGTAAACGGTTGCATGTTTGTGGTGGTTAGCACCATGCTGACTTAAACACCAGAAAGGGACAGTGTTTTCCTAACTCTGGAGATGGCAGAGTAACCCAGATCATGACCCAGGCAAGCGAGACAGCCTCATCTGAAACTGGAGAGAAGACCATGGTGAAGGGGTGTCTCTGGTCACCATCCCCATGTGCAATGAAGTGGCTCTAAGCCCCCTTCTTTGGGTTCAGTGGCTCCTGTGCAGCCTGTGTTCTTCCCATCCCGTTTCTCCAAGATAGCGAACATGACTTTTCTTTGTGGCCATGTTTTGCAGACAGTTGAAGAGATCGAAGGGGTGCTTGGCCGGGACCTGTACCCCAACCTGGCTGAAGAGCGGTCCCGGTGGGAGAAGGAGCTGGCTGGGCTGAGGGAAGAGAACGAGAGCCTAACTGCCATGCTGTGCAGCAAAGAGGAGGAGCTCAACCGGACCAAGGCCACCATGAATGCCATCCGGGAAGAGCGCGACCGGCTCCGGAGGAGGGTGAGCACCACAGCCAGCTCAGTGTGGCCTGTCCCAGCCATGGGGCTGAGAGGAGTGGGCATATACAGCCAAGGGCAGCCCCAAATTTTCATGGATTCTGAGTCTTTGGAATCACCAGCCTTTCCTGGTTATGAAGCCATTCTAGAAAGTAGTTTTAAGATGCTAAGATATAGAGATAAGATTTTTTTTAAAACACCTTTTTCTGGAATCCTAAATCTAAGTAGATGATAAAATTAGAGCAGTTTTCCTCAAACTACTCTCCTGGGTATGCACAACGTCTCCAAGCTCCATTAAAAGGTGCTTCTTTTAAGATAGTCTAGGAGGTGGGGCTATGATTCAGTGGTGCAGTGCTTGTCTGGCACAGGTAAGGCTCTGGGTTCAATCCTCAGCACCACATAAAAATAAATAAATAAAATAAAGGTATTGTGTCCATTTACAACTAAAAAATTTTTAAAAAGATAGTCTAATAATATTTTTATAATTTTAAAAAAATATAGAATTTTCCCCTTTCAATTTTTTCTACAAAATTTTCTTTAACTTCGTAGTATCTGTTGTCACTTATGGCTATATCTAATGTGAAATGCCCCGTCTTCTAGCATAAACTTATTAAAGTTAAAATAACCATATAGATATGTGTGTGTATGTATCTGTACATGTGTGTCTGTATGTGTATTTGTGTATGCATATCTGTGGGTGTGTATACACGTGAGAGTGTGTGTGTGTATTTGTGGGAGAGGGAGAGAGAAACTGATTGATTGATTTCTGTATTCACCTAAGGGCCTGCCTGCTCCAGTTTGAGAACTACTTTGCTAAACACATATATCCCTTGCTGAAGGTGCTGATGTTTCAGCATAGAAATGTTTTAACATAGAATTGTTAGAGCATTCAGTTTTCTAAAGATGCCGTTTTTACCCCGCAGGGACCCATAAGTACGTCTTTGCTTGGCTGTGAATTTTATCTGTGATTGGACTGGGGGTGAAGCAATGGATTCTTCAGTCAGAAACAGCAATATTAGGCTGTTACTTTCAAGTCATGCTCTGAATGGTAATTTTGCACATGAAGTAGAATGATAGGGGGAAAATAAATCTAGTTGGTTTCGTCAACCTTCACCATTACTGTTTCTCTCTAACCTTTGGAGAACACCTTGGAAGTAACTTGTTCTTCAATAAGGTCAGGCATGTAAATGGTTTTGTTCTTAATCCACATGCAGATATTCTTGTTGTTTGAATATAGAAGAGATAACTATTGTTGAATATTACCAACACCATTCCTCTCCTCATTTATGCCTAATGTCATGATTAAAGAGCCAGTACTCCTACCTCTTATATCTGAACATCATTTATCTTAACTCTTGCGCATTAAGCGTATTTTCAGTACCCAGCTTTACCAAATGCCATTCTCCAAACTTGTATCAGCAGGTGTGAATCATCCTAGTCAGCAAAGGCTTTATCTGGGGAACTCGATGAAATTTACTTAGCACTAAGGCCTACGCCACCTGTAATTTCCTGGGTTACCCCCTCTGATCTTTATGACTAATATCCTAATTAGGTATGTGCTTGCTTTTAGTGTGTGTATTCTGTTGATGCATGTTTTGTGAAGGAAATGTTGGTCTTAGATATAATTACATATTGTGGTTTACAATAAATTTCCTTCTCTAACTTGAGTTACTAAGATGCAGAATAGCTTTTGATTGTAGCAAAAAAAAAAAAAAAAAAAAAGGCGCCAATATCCACCCCTCCAATGTTTTCTTCAACTTTGGAGGTCAGCATTAAGAACAGAACAGTGTGGAAGAATTTACATTGTGTACCAGAGCTCTGGAGCCACACTGCATGGGGTCGTAGCCTGACCTGCAAAGTCCCTATGAGTCTAGCAAATTACCTAACTTCCCTGGGCTTCAGTTTACTTTGCTATGAAGTGGGAATAGTAATAATACCCAATACAGGAAAATTATCTAATACTGATAAAATAGTTACACGGTGCCTGGAATATAGTAAATACTCAAAAAAATTAGAATTAGTGGTAGTTGTTTGGGCTAGAATCCACATTTATATGTTGAATGGTGTGGAAAGTTTAGTTTCATGCCATCTTTTTGTTTATTTATTTTTAATAAGAATCTTTAGATGTTTGAAAAATTCTAACATGAACATTGATTATATTGTAAGTATATAGATGTGCACATGCACACATGTTTCTTCACAAAATGTTTCTTCTGATTATGTTTACTTAAGTTTGTGCCATTAATTTGGTTTTATATAAATTTACATAATTTGTAGTTCATTTACCTCCCAGTAATAAAACTTTAAGGAACTTGTGTCTTCAACTAGTAATGTCTTGTGGGATATGTATACTTACCCATGAATTAGATTTATTTCTAGGCAATTCAGGTTCTCAAAAGAATTTTCTAGATGCCTTTCAATGCTGGTTTACTAGACTTTAAGACCTGGAAGACTGCAACCACCCAGTGTATTTCATTTCCCTGAGGGATCTACCTTTTGTGATTAGCATTATCTTTTGTTTGTCATGATGTGTAGGTTTGCAGAGTAACTGAGCTACAATTCCATTTTCCTCGCTGTGATTTTACATAGTTCATAGCTAGTTTACCTTTGCACTTTGTAGCAGCTCTGAATCCATAGTTCATCAAAGTGGCCTGAAAATAATTGGGGCTTAACTTTTTTTTTTTTTTTCCTTTGCCCACATTCATTTCATAGAATTTTAACTGACCAGATCGATAGGATTGATGCTCCCCACCCCCCAACTATAATTAAACAAAGTGCTCTCTGTAGGTCTTCTGAGCCTTGTTCAAGATTTAATTAAATCAGATCTTTAATGTAGTCAGTTAACAAATTGGACTATTTGGCAGAGCAGTAACTAAGAAACAACAGGCAGACAATTTTTATTATTGGTCCCAGTTCATTATTAAATGAAATAATAATTTATTTCTGAATGTTCTGTAATATAACCACTTATTTCCCCACACTTAAGGAAACAGACTTAATCCAGGCAAGGTGGAGTTAATTACTCTAGAAAGGAAGCACTTTGTTCTTCTTTCATTCATTTATGCACTTCATAAACATGGCTGGTCATGTCTATGTCAGGCAGAGGTCTTAGAGTGATGGACAGAGCACCATGACTGGTTTAAGGGACGCTGGGGAGACAGCCAAGTCAAGAGGTCATAATGATGTATGCCGAGTGGTAGGGACGGTGAACACACAGAGTGCCCTGGGAACTCATAGGAGGGACGTCAATAACAGGGCCCAGCTTCTCCCTACTGCATCCATTTTTTCACCTAAATTGTTTAGGCTAACTTCTATATAGCCAAAATTATCCAGGGCTTTTCCTATTCTGTTTGGCAAAGCAAACTTGATGTGACCATAGGCTTGTGAACCCATGTCTCATGGAATCATGGACTTGGACATAAATAGGCCACACAAGTCCCTTCTGAGACTTTGTAGATACTCTTCAGCAAGTTCTACATGTTCATAGTATAAGGTGGTGGTAACAGTTCCTTCCTTGTTCCCTGTTCTCTTCCTGGGACTTCTCAGCATGTCTGAGGATGAGTTCCATCTGCCTTTCCATGGGGTCTGGCTTCTGCTGTGACTCTGGGTTAACATCACAATGAATTCAAGAGACTACACACACACTTTTTAAAACCAAATAAAAGTTACCCTAATCTGAAATTTCCTCCTAACTTTCCCCATCTCCCCTTAAAATCTTATAAAAATATTTCATGTTTGTTATATTAACTTGACTCCCCAAAGATTTTAGTTGGGAATGGGAGGCTCCAGTTCCCACTGGTGATAAGGAACCAGTCATTCTTGATATCTAAATACAAGACTGTATTTATGAAACATTGCATTGATAGACCTACATAATAAAAATGGAAGCACCTGGTTCACACAGTTTCTTAAAGTATAAGCAAGGATTCCAGACTCTGCATATTTAAATATTTGCCATTTGGCTTCACAGCCAGAAAAGGGACAAGCAAAATTCCATAGAGCTTCAGAGCCCCTTTCCTTCCCTGTCACCTCATCTCCTTTAATAGAAAGTAGCATCAAATTCCTGGCAATGGAACCTCTTTGGGGAACAGGAAGCTGGGAAAGGAGATGACAGGAAAGGTGTAAGTATGAAGGGAGAAATTTCCTCCACACCTTGTCTCTCTCTCCGCACTTTTTTTTTTTCCGTAAGCTTTTCAAAGTACCAATTCTGTCATTTACTCCTGTGGGTCACTTTTATGTCTGTGATTATGTCAGGAGAGATGATGGGCTGCGCTATCTGCCCATAGTCGTCCTCATGTAACAGAGGTCCTTGTGCTGAGGGGCGCTGAGGGGTGCTCAGCGATGCTCTGCTCAGCCAGGTGTGCGGTACATGGTCAAGCACTTGTCCCAGGAACTCAGCAGCTAAGGCTGTTTATGGAGCATCCTCTCTATGATGCCAGGGTTCTCCAGAGATCCCGATCACTGGAGCCAATGGCTGAAACTTAACTAGATCTAAACACCAATTCTAATCCACCTTCAGTATCTCCAAGGACACATGTTGATTAGAGGCCATATCAGAGGAGATGAAAAAGAGAATCTGAACTAAAACAAAGGGGCTACTTAATGTGATTATCTAGGACTCTATTATGTGCTTTTTCTGTAACATCTACAGTCCACCCTCACTAGAAGTGTTACAGTGACAAATTGATGTGCCCTGAGTAGAATTTGTCTATACTGGAAGCAGCCATTTGCTCTGTCCACATTGTTTCCTGTTATATGCTAACTCAGTATGTCTGAGATATTTTTAACTAAAAATCAGTGACAGTGAAGATATTTCCAGCAGTGAACTGTTGTGACCTTAGGTAGGTTAAATACAGGCTCATCTGCTTTACCTTGGAAACTCTTACAGACTCCTGAAAACTCTTCCCATTTCACTTCCCTCCCTCATACTCTTCCCACAACAGGTGTATATGAAGAAAGACAGAATCATATAGTTACTATGTATTTACATGTAAATATATATTT